GGAGCTGGGACCAGAGACGGGAGGTCACTCCGTCATGCAGCACTCGGGTCTCGAACTGCTGAACTACCGAGCTTCAGGTCTGCAGTTCAGCATCTTAACCACTTGAGCCACCGCAGCCCCCATTTAACCTGATATATAACCACAAAATACATGGGAGCCCTGCCAGCAGAAATTAGAAATCCTAGTGGAGTTAGCTCACTTGTTTTAGACAAATTTAATATTTATGCATTTTTAAATTTAATTTTTTTTAAAAAATGTACATATCATGATAATGAACACTCATGTCCTATTTATGCTCAGCTTACTTTTAGAACTAAGGCAGTGAACAGAATGCTTATTAATTTATGCACATTCATTCTTACAAAGTTTAAGAGATAAGGCAATAGCTACTTTTAATATTGTTCAGCATGAAAGCTTTTGGTGCGCACAAGTATCTTGAGTCATAAACAAAGGAAGATTCCTTCTTCCTCAGGACGAAGATCTTGTCTTCCAAATACCGAGAAAGAGAGAGACTGTGATTCACCATTATGAACTCTTTTATTGATTGTGGCTTGTATGGATTTATTATAATTAAGCTTGCTTAAGGGATTGTCAAGGGAAACATTTCAAAATCCCTCACAGAAGTTACAACTTCTTCTGAAGCAAGAAAAAAACAACAAAAAATCCTCTAAAATGACAGAATGCTGAATATATATATATATATATTTGTTTTAAACCAATGGGAAATTATCTGAAAGCACCAGGGGTCATTTAGTAGAAAAAGAGCTAGGGGAACTCATTAGCATAACTCATTAGCATATGCCACACCCCCTGACATCATCAGAAGTGTGTCATAAGGCCACACCTCCTGACATCACCGGAAATGTGTCATAAGGCCACACACCCCGCCCCCAACTGGAAACTCTGCGGCGAAAGAGCAAATTATTTTCACAATTGATGGACGTGTAAACACATACAGAAATTTTGGAAACAGATTGCTAAACAGATTGAAAAGCTGACAAGTTATAACATATACCTTTGATCCCTGAATTAATGCTGCTCCATCTCTGGCCTTCAGATCGTCCTCCTGCAAATAGAATAAAACTACTTAACATTTTATTAACAACAGCCAAAATAACAATTGCAAAAAACTGGAAAAACAAAAACCCTCCCACAGTAAATCAAGTCTGTGAATCCACTACCAGTGGTAAAAGTCCATCAAGGCTGTGAGGAGATCTGCCCCAGAATGCTGCAGGAGGGAGAGTGACTTCCTGGGCGGGGAGGGCCGTTTGATATAGTGGAGCTTTTGGGCGGGAAGCAGTCTATGGGAATTGAGGTCGGTCTGTCTGAAGTCTGGAGCCAGTCAGGCTGTCGGCTGGAGTCTGCAGGAGGCAGAGGCCATGTTGGGAGTTGTGCTAATCTAACTTCCTCCAGTGAGAGCAAGTCATGTGCCTGCCCTGCAGACCATCTAGACAGGGTATGTGTAGTGAAGGGAGAGATGGAGCGATTTATTATTCACCTTTATTTTGATTCTTCAGTTCACTGTTAATATGCCTGTATATAGTTGAGTGGTTTCAAAATAAATCCTTTTATTGTTGACATTGAGAAGTCCCTCTGTACTGCATAGTTTCCCCAGCTGCTTGGACACGCTAGGAGTGGGTTGGGGATTCTCTGAGGAGGAGAACAAGGGCAAAACGGTCAGTTGCCAACTCTCCAGGGGAGCCCCTAAGATTACCAGGGAGCCCCGAGGTGGGTTCCTAGCGACATCAGAGGGAGGTTAGGAGGCTGTCCTGCCTAACCAGAGCCCAAGACAGGGACAGTGGTGGCAGCAATACCCGGAGGCAGCGGTGAAAAACTGCCCCTTCAGGTGCCAGGGCAGGCAAAGGAGGGGTGGGCAGAGCGGGGTCAGCCAGCTGACGCAGGCCCATTCCGCCACAGGTGCTATTCCAATGGCTGAAAAATATGGATGGAAATATATCTATTTACTTCATTTATACCCCACCTTTGTCCCCAATGGAGACCCAAAGCAGCTTATGTTGTTCTCCTCTTCCTGTGAGGCAGAGAGCGTGTGACTGGGCCAAGGTCATCCAGAAGCATCCATGACTAATTCGGGATTCAAAGCTGGGCTAAACATGTTTAACTTTGCTGTTTGAAATAAAATGTGTTCATTGTGTGCAGAGCCAATACAGTCCTGTGCATAACATCTTCCATTTGAATATGGGACCCCTGCATTCATTCATTCTATTACATTTTTGTGTCATCTGCAGCATGTTGACAGTGAGGATGACTTAAAACTAAGTTGATTGTTACAATTCTATCATTCATTCCTTGGATCTATTTTTTAAAAAAATCTTCTTTTGGTTTACATATTTGTATCCTGAACAGATGGCCACTCCAAAGCTTTTTCCCCGTTAGTGCTCTTTATTAGATCCTTCTCACAAAGAATCCATACATGCAATGAACTTGTCAGAGCTGATATGACTCACTTTTGGTAATTTTGATAATGCAGACTATGATCTCAAAGGAAAAATTGTAAATCAATGCACTGCTGGGTGGGAAGACAGTTTGTGCATACAGAAGAGAAGAACATCATCAGTGAATGAAAAGCTATGAATTATCTGACAAGAGAAATATAAATAAAATGAATATGGAAGTCTGCAAGAGAATGCTATAAAGGGAATTACAGATCTGTCTAGGCACTCTTGAAGTCCTTTCTGCTCTAGAGCATCTGTGGATGAAAAAAATATAAACATTCCTTCTAAATTTACAGTATTTGAACAGAGCATAAAGGAATCTAAGGACTGGAGTCTAAATGTATGAAAACAGATTGCCTCATCCATAACTCCCCACATCTCTAGGAAACTGGAAAGGGCACGGCAGGATCTGGAAAACAGTATTTTCTTATTTTCTCCATGCTCCAGCAGTGGAGGCACCACAGCTGAACTGGCTGCCCAGATTGTTTGAGAATGAACTCATTGAGGGTTGAGAAGTTAGCATTTGGGAGTGATTCAAATATTACATGTTCTTTCTGAAGTAGTCCTGTTGACTACGTTAGTAGAATCTTTGTGTAGAAAGAGAAAAATCTAACAGCTCTGGCTCACAAAATGTCCACTAATAAGCCTTCTTGTTTCCCCTTTGATCTAAAGTGAATGGGAGTCAAAAAAGTCCACTGACTTCACAAGAATGCACAGTTGCTGCATTTACTTATTTATTTATATCCTGCACTCTCAGTTTATTGATTCACAAAGTTGTTAGCAGCATTCATAAAACAATATCTTACAAGTACAACTCAGAACATTAAATAACCAGTCAGCAAATTAAAACACATCTGAAAGCCAATTAGCAGCATTATCTAGAACTAGTTAAAAAACCAACAGCAGCATAAGCCAGTAAAATTTAGAATGCTGAGAATAAAAACTGACAACGTTGATAAACTATAACAGGTCTGTGTAGCATGGTGTAGTGGTCACAGTGTCAGACTAGGAGCTGGGAGACCTGGGTTCAAATTCTCCACTCTGCCATGGAAATCTGCTATGTGACCTTGGGCCACCAGTCACACACTGTCAGCCTAACCTACCTCATAGGGGTGTTGTGAGGATAAAATGGAGAGAAGAATAATGGGAGGAATGCAGGGGAAGATGAAATAAAGTGGATGAAACTCCAAGAAATAACTTTTAAAAAAAGTAGCATGCACTGCTGTGTAATGTATTGAAATTAAGTATTTTTGAGCCACAGGCAAAAAAATTTTAAAAATAATTTTTATTAGTTTTTTCTCAAAAGTAACAGTCAGTAGTATTAAACTTACAGAACAGCATAAACAGCGTACATAGTTTGCAAACCAATATAGTACTAGTAGTTTTACTTTGTTGTCAACAAGCTCAATGTAGTACCTACGGTATAACCCTTGTGTTTATTTAAATATAAAAATGAGCTGATGCAAAGAAGTAATAACTTGTGTCCCATTAAATTATATCAAAATAATGTCACAACTAGGCATTGCAGTATGGTCAAAGAAGTAAAGTTTAGTAGTCTAGTAATTTTAAGTATAAAGAGTTTTGAGGTTGAGAATCCGAAGCTGAGATATATTCTATGAATGGGGTCCATTTCTCCTTAAAATTGGATGATTTAGGATTGATGTCTGATTGAAGTAAACGGTCAGTGATTTTTTCTAATATAAGGTGATCCCAAACTTTGTTTAGCCAGTTGGTACGTGTTGGAGCCTTGTCTGATTTCCATTTAGAGGCTATCGATGTTTTAGCAGCCACTATGAGGCTAGTGATCAAATTGCGACATTGGTATGTTTTTTGATTTCCAGATGCCCAAAAAGATTAGAGTTGGGTCGAATGGTACTTCTTGACCTGTGATTAGTTTTATTTCATTTAGAAAGTCTTGCCAGAAAGCTCTGATATTTCTACACTGCCACCAACAGTGGGCAAATTTATTTTGAAGCAGTTCAATATAGTTTCCCTTCTAGACAGGATATATGCCAGAAGTCCCTGGTTCAATCCCTGGCATTTACAGGAAAACGATGAGGAGACATGAAAGGCCTTCACCTGAGACTTTGAAGAGCTGCTGTCAGTCAGAGTAGACAGTACTGATATTGACAGACCAAAGGTCTGGCTGGATATAAGGGAGCTCCACGTGGCTTTAGTGTCTTATCTACTGATGTCCTGAAAAGATTCACAGATGTGCAAATTTAGGCAAAGACCACAGAAATTAAGCACAGAGGCAAGGCAAACCAAAAGTGACCAACAGCCCAACTGTGTGTAAATGACCCAGAAGTAAATCCCACTGAGTTCAGAGAAGTCTACCTCCCTGCCAAGATTTACATGTGCGCCTGCTAGACTACCGCCTCAACTCTGCGTGTGTATGTTTGTTACCATGCCGCCCTCTGACCTCATTTCTTTTCACAGAGATCACCTCGACCCCGCCCACCGCAATCCTTTCGCCCAGCCTATCGCATAAGCCCCGCCCACAGTCCCCAAACGTCGGCGTTTGAAAAATCGGGCGAGCTCATCCGAAGGCGCAGACAGGAGGGGAAGAAGGAGAGGAAGAGGTGAACTTTCAGCCAGTATTTACTGCTTGGCTTCCAGTGCCGACTCTAAATGAGGATTATTAACGAAACGGGGTGAGGCTTGGGGAGCCAGTGTCAGGGAGTGGGTTAAAACTTTTTTTGTCACTGAGCCTTTCTTTTCTTTGTCCCCCCCCCCTCCTTTCGCTGGCCGCAGTGGACTGCGCGCGGCGAGTACGTCACCCATTGTTTACAAACCAACCGCAGCACCAACAACAGTGGTTGAGGAGCGAGTGCGCCAGAGAGGCAGCAGCAGGGAGGCTTCGTTGGCAGCGACGGACGCCGGCGCCGCAGAAGCGGGAGGAGCTGCGTGTGCCAAGCCGGAGTGGAAAGAGGGGAGACCGAAGCGGCTGCGATGCCCTGCCGGCGGACAGGCGGGGAGCGCTTCCTGCTCCTAGAGCGCGCCGTGTCTTTACAGAGCAGCCCCGTCGGGGGAAGCACTGGCTCCAAGGAGGTGGACGCGCTGGTCGCCAAGCTGGGCGAGGTGCTGCAATTGAGCGCCCAGCACCGGACTCCGCCTCCCCGGCTCCCCAAGCACCACGGCCGGGACCGAGCGGCCCCTTACTCGGCTCCTACGGGGCTTGGCTTCTTAGCCTCGCTGCACCGACAGCCGCCTCATCAGCGCCCTCCGCCGCCGTTGCTGCTCTTGCCGCCGCCGCCGCTCCCGTCGTCGTCCACGGACAAGAAAGGCAGCCCTCGGGTCGCCAAGCAGCTGTGTGGCCGAGGCTGGTTGAGGAGCGCCGCCCGGGCTGGAGGGAAGAAGCCGCGGCGGCATCCTCTGCTACCCGCGGGTGACGACGACGAAGAGGACCCGCACCGGCTCCTGCAGCAGCTCATCCTCTCCGGCAACCTCATCAAGGAAGCCGTCCGACGTTTGCAGCTGGCGGCCTCGACGGCGGCGGGGGAGACTTCCACCACGGGCTCGCCGAGCTCTGCCTCGTCCGCGGGGAGCTGCCACAGCAGTAGCGGCGAAGGGGACTCTGCCGTACCACCGGCGACCAGCGCAGCATTCCCCGTCTCCTCTTTGCAGCCTCTGCCCTAGCCCCTGCGGAGATGCATCCACCCCACCCCAGATCATCCCCCCCCTGCCCCCCGCCGAGCCATGGGGGAGCCCGTGGAAGAGAGTCTGCATTCCCCCCCCACACACACACACACATACGACGGACGAGGCGTGACTGCAAATCGCCAGCGACCGATTATCAAGGCAGCGCCGTATACTTGAAGCAGACTCTGCTAGGAAGTAGTTCTTTGTCGCTTGTCCTCACGGAGGGAGCCACGGGCTGGGCTGCCGGGCTCTCTCCCTCTGTTAAGCAACCGTGGTGCTACATCCACAGCCCTGGACGGCAGCCTTCCAGTGTCTCCTCCGAATCTGCCTCCTGCACCAGGATCTGCACTTGTCTGGACATCTTAATGCGTTGTCGTCGTCCCCCCCCCCCCAACATGTAGGGAGGCTGGGAAGCACAAGAAGGGACCATCCCGCGTGGCATTGTCTTGTGTAAAATTGTTGTCACCTGCACAGCTGTGTGTTACCGAGGGGGTGGGGTGGGGGAGAGAAGCCAAAAGGCATCTAATGTGTTGGGGTTGAATCGGAAGGGAGGGGGAGATGTGTACACTATTGAAGGCAAATAGCAAAAGGTTTGAAGAGTTGCATTTCTCTTGCCAAGGTCACCCTTTACCTCGACCGTCCAGGCTGTGTTTATTCTTGCTGTACTCCCTGGTTGGTTGGAGAGCGTAATCCTATCCCAGTTTGTTTTGACTGGGCTGTGTACGAACCCTGTGTTTTGTAACTCCTGGGAGTCTCCTGAGGACTTGCACGCTGCCAGATCCAAATTGTTGTTGTGCTCTCCCCCCCCCCCACTTCTTTCCAAGAGCTCCTCCTCTTTATATAAGCAGGATTCTCAGAAACGGGGTCGTGTTACAGCAGCCTTTCTAAGAAATCTCCCCACCCCACCCCCTCGGCTTGCTCTGCTTTGCCAGCCGTGGCTAGCTCCCTGGGGCTCTCTCCCAGCCAAAGGGTATCAGGTTTTTCTCTGTATCCCCCTCTCTGATTCCCACACTGCCAGCCATTTCCCTTGTGGGCCAATCCCTCTTACACAGAAGAAAATCTGCCTGTGTCTTTGATGGTCTTACGAGATCATTTGCAATAAGTCCGAATTACTCTCCTGAGACTTTCCCTTTCATTCTTACACAGACCTTTTGTTTTTAACGGCTGTCTAAAAACAGCTTAAAATGTGAATATCGAAACTGGAAAGCAGCTGATTTAACAGAAATGTAGTGGCAATGAAGAGGCACATTGTTCACAGAAGGTAGCTAAAATAAGCTTTTTTATTAAAAAGCAAACACACGCAGAGAACTCAATGGCTCAGTCAGCAGAAGCAGCTGTTGATAAAATAATACACTTCGTAACGGAGTGTTCAAGTGTTTGTTCCTGGTTTTCAGGGTTTGTCTTTAAATATGTCTGTATTGAATAAATGTGGTAGACTTTTTATATAAAAAAGAACTGGGTTGTCTCTTTTCTTGATGTTGGAACGAGATCTGTTCGTACACACTGAAGAACGTTTTTCCTTCCCACTTCGGTGAAAGTGCATTATTTGCAGAGAAAATGAATCTGCATAGTTTGATGCAGAGGAAGCAGCTTACGTATGCTTTAGATTGCAACTCAAGTCTCTTTGTTTGGCAGCAGCATTTTTCAGTGCACAGGGCCCCTCTTGTCCCTATTGATGTAATGCTGCTGTTGGAATTTGCAACTTTATCATTTATTTGAAAGCATCAAAATCAAGAATACTACATGGCAGGGTATGCACATGGGACCGAAGCCCCCCTCCTTACCGTATAGGCTTTAATGAGAAGGAATGGATGACAGTCTCCTCGCAGCAATTTGATTAATGTCGCAAGACAATGATGTTGGATGTGATCCAGATCTGCTCACATCAGTGGGAACCTGCTTGTTGATCTCTGTGGGATGAGAACTGGCACTTTCTTTCCCACCGTGCCAATTAAATATCTTCATAACACTTGGAAATTTAACTTGGCTAACTGGGCAGTTAACTGCACTGAAACATAACTGACACTCTACTTGCTCCTCTGTTCCAATTTCAACCAAAGCCTGCCTCTAGTACTGATTATGTCAAAAAAGAAAATGGCAGGTGGTTAAACGGGTGCACAAATGCTAAGGAAACATGTTAGAGTTACCTTTACCCACTGGTCGAATGCTTGGTAATACCGTACGGATCGGCTGCATTGCTATTAAATAATAGTTTAAAAGAAAATGGAAGACACATACTGGTTTGTTGAAACTAGCATTGCACACATAACTACTTTACAAATGCTCTAAAACCATGCTATCCCTCACAACTATAGGCCTTTCCTGAGTGAAACTGTTTGGGCCTTACCTAGCAAGTGAGCTGTTTTTGTGCAAAAATAGTACAAAAATAGTAATATGGAATGTTTTCAGTTGTTAAATTACAAGTAAGGTGTGCAGATGTTTGGTGGGATTCATGCCCTAATCTTATGATACAAGCAAGTGCCAATGCTGAATAGAGATGAAAGGGTTGAGGGAAATTGCCTGGCCTTTATCACTGTAATTCTGTTAACTTTTTAATTTGGTACCGTGACAATATTTTACACAAAGTATAAAATTACTCTCTGTTTAGAATTATTTTATTTACGCTTTACGAAATTGTAAAAGAGCATATAAGTCAAGCTGTAAGAACAATGCATTTTAAAGATAAATGCATCTATACACTTTTTTTGCTTTTTGTTTATAGAATTTTTCTTGATCCTTTTTAATTAAAAGACCCCCACAGATAAATATTTTTTGAACTGTAGGTGTTAAATGGAAAGCTACCACCTGAAGCTGCCTGAGGGCTTCGGCTAATACACATTTTATGTCACAGTACTGAAATGAGTCAACAAAAGATTTATGTTAAAGCACTGGGACAGTTACTATTACATGGGAGTGAAGAATTAATTGAAACTGAGCATCTGCTTCAGCATGTCTGGGTCGTTATTAGTGTGGAAATACAATTTATCAGGAAATACCATGATGTGATAAAGGAACTCAGGCACAGATTTGGGGCCAAATTCAACATAACAGTGGCAGATTGCTGAGTTTAAATATAGATGTGCCCTGATCACACATAAAGTGTGTGTTAGAGGCTCAACTTTAAGAGAGAATAGGGAGGTGGTGCAGAACCATTCCGTTCCCAGCACTTTGCCTCTCTGCATTCACTCTTGAGTTTTCCACCCATACACCACAGCTTGGCTGTGGGGAGGTAAGTATTTATTTATTTAAATTTCTAGCCCACCCTTTCCTGCACTGCAGGACTCAGGGGGCAGGTTACAATAGTAGGTATATATAATAGATTTAAAACAAAACAATACACAATAGTAAAACTCATACATCATTGGCTAATACAACTCGTAAGATGGCAATAAGATACAAGTTGGCAGGTGCTCCCAAAGAACTTTCAGGATGGGTGGGTGCCCATAGATGAAAACCAGATACTGGGCAAGTGGCAGAAAAGCAGCAACAATAGCAGTGAATAAATAGCGCAAGGCTGGGTAGGGGAGGCCAATGTAGCTAGATCTCCACCGCCTCAGTCATAGGCCTGGCAGAACATCTGTTTTACAGGCCCTGTGGAATTGCACCAAGTAACAGGATTTGTGCAAATAAGGGGTAGGAAGAAGGGCTCTACAATCTACACCTGCACACACCCCTTTGCTGTGAAGTGGGCAGCTGTGTGTTTGTTTGACCTGCTTTTCTTCCCAAATTGTTTATACCCTGCTTTTCTTCCCGAAGGGAGGCCAAGTGGCTTTCAAAGTCATGCTGTCCTACATGTTGTTCTTACAATATGTACACTTCATAAGGGAATGTTCAAGTGTTTGTCTTCTGTGGGGGAGTTAGGCTAAGGGAATCATCCAGCAAGCTTCCCTGGCAGAACTGGGATCTGACCCTAGGCCTCGCAGATTCTCGCCCAACACCCTAACCAGTGTAGAAGAGAAGAAGAGATTGGATTTATACCCTGCGCTTCACTACCCAATGGAGTCTCAGAGCAGTTTACAATCTCCTTCCCCTCCCCACAACAGACCCCCTGTGAGGTAGGTGGGGCTGAGAGAGCTCTTTTGAGAACTCATGAGAGAACAGCTCTGAAAGAACTTGTGACTGACCCAAGGTCACACCAGCAGCTGCATGTGGAGGAGTGGGGAATCAAACGTGGTTCTCCCAAATTAGAGTCCATGTTCCTAACCACTACACCAAACTGGCTCTGTAGCACACTGCCTCTTAGATACAGCACAGTTATGTCTGTTTTGGTCCTGAGATAATTTGCTTTGCCTTTACTATGTCTAATACAGACCTCTGAACTCATCCCACTAAATAATCATGCATTCTTTACATATGTTTTAGGAAGGCTGATCTTAAAACAGAATTTCATAACTGCTTACCCAAGAGACATCTTTGATTCACAGCTGGTCTTTGGGAGTAAGGGTGAAACAAAGCTGTTAATGAAACAGAATATCTATTGAATAACCAATCTAAAAGCAATGTTTCAAAATGTTTTGTACTCTGCGTAACAACATGCATGTAAAAGTCATTCAGGGGATTAGTGTTCAAGCCAAGAATGGCAAAGGTAAAACAAATAAGAAAGGGTAGCAATTCAGTGTTTAGATTTTCAGCAGAATTCACTCATTTGCTTTTCACAGTAGGCCCCTCGGCATGTTTTAATAGATCACCATACACGTCTTATGGAAACATTTGTTGATAAGGGAGCAGGCAAGCATTTAAGAAGCCTTGTCAGACATGGTGGAGATGTGAGTAATATGCAAATATTTTAGCTCCTTTAGCTAGCTACAAAAGAAGGCTTTAAAAATTAGCCCATTGTATATCTTAAAGGACAAAAAATATCATTTGTAAACAGTTCAGTTCTACCTTTTCATTATGCATTGTGGAACTTTAAAATCTTGCCTACTGTTACTTTTTAACTGAAACCCTATATTTGTATTACCCTATTCATCTTTTCTAGTGCTAACAGCAACAGCTTCAGTTGGGAGAGCCAGAAACGCCTTACTGGATCTAACCAATAGTTTACCTAGTGTAGCTTTCTGTTTCTGTGGTTAGCCAGTTTCTGGGAAATCCAGGAACAGCTCAAAAGAACATAAATCAGCATGGTATAGTGGTTAAAGTGCCAAGAGGAGAGCAGTGTTGGAGCCCCATTAGGAAGAAAACTGGAGTATGAATAAATACACCCCCTTTAAAAACAGACTCCTAACACAAAAGCAGTAACAGAAGAAGAGGTTTTGTTTGAATTGTTCATTTATTATTTTTTTAAAATAAAAAACAGTTTCTCAACTTCAGATGCCTTACATTTGCCCAAATGGGCTGCTTAGCCAGTCATTAGCAGAGCCAGTTTGGTGTAGTGGTTAAGTGTG